AAAAAAAAACCAGCAAAACACCAGCACAAGCTGGCATAATAAACAAATTTTTTCGTTGAAATACTCAGATCAAATCTCAGAAAAATCTCATAGAAGATATCCAATTTTTTACTGATAAACAATCTCTACTGGTCTGTCGATTTGACTTTGAGTAGAATTAATAGGAAAATGTGCTACGTCTGGACTTAAAATTGGTTCACATAGAAATCGAATACATTGCCGGTAACAGGTTAGCAGAAAGAAATATTTTGATAACCCCTCACGGCCCAGTTTTTCTCTATTGTTCCATCATAATATTCTTTGTCGGTGTTATTGAATGTAACCTGGTCATTGAATTTTTACGCGCTCAACGGCTCGCCTAATAATCGGTCATCTGGGCAACAAGTCAAAGTTACTTACTTCATACTCCAGTCTTTGATGATCAGATTTCACATTACCCAGGTCAAGGAAAAGCTAAATACACCTCTGAATAAAGTTTCTCATGTAAAATGACGAATCTTGCGGGAGAAACATGAACCGAGTCCGTCGCATGAGGGGTATCGATTGCGTGGGTGTATTTTTCATACAAAGTAATGGTCAAAGCATTCAAAACAATAGCATTTGCTTGTGGCAAGGAAAACAAAAAATTCTGATTCTCTCATTAAAAAAGCTTTGTTATGCCAAGAAAGTTTAGTTCCTGGGAGAGAGCTGCACTTTACTTTGCGCTAAAAGAGGGCCGGGTACACTCAAAGACATTTTAGGATGTCTGTGGGAACTACCTTACGCCTAGTGAGTGGTTGAATCAGGAAAGTTGGTGAAATATTTCAGTAAAGCCAAAAGTAATGATTTGCACACAGTCCAAGTTTTATGTCTTTAGGTACGTAATCACTCGAAAGTGAGATATTAAAATGTGGTGATCATAATTAACAATTTGAGAATTTTAATTTACAATTAAAGAGGTGGGAGAGATTGCAATTGTAAGATCCTCTAAAAAATGCAAAACCTCGTAAGTTTTGATTTTAATCTAGATTTAAAATAAACATTTTTTTGTCTGGATAGGTAGAAATTTGGGTTATATATCAGCAGTAATTCGGTTTCAAGTGTCTTAGTGAATGCCTTTTCCTATTCTCTCTGAAGGACCAAGCTTTGATACCTGATTGGTCAATTTCCTTAAAGAGCCCGCGATTTCCCGCCAAAACCGCACGCGTCAGCCTAGCGTGACGACAAAGGTGAAACCTGGACGAAACTAAAATTTTTTCCCTCTTTGGAAATTTACATTTTCTGATTCAGCATTATGCAAGGACGTTTCTCTGGAAATAGAAACATCAGCACTTGCCAAAGAATGTTAATTTCAGTTTTTAGAGGTCATTAGGGAAATATTAAGTGCCAGCGCTAGTTAAACACTTCACAGATCAGCTATCGGATGTTTACATCACGGACTAATTTAGTCGTGCATGTTCGTAATGTTGGCCTAGATTGTGATTAATATCGTTGACTTTCTTTATAACAAGGATATTTGCTCACTTTATTACTGAGAAAAACTATGGAAGAGGAAGGAGGAAGAGCTGACATGGATTTGACTTCGAAGATTGCTGAGCGTTCAGAACAGGATCTGCTGCCTTTGAAGGAAGACCTAGCGGAATGGCTATCGAGAGTTCTGCAAGAAAAAATTACCGCCGAAAATTTATTAGATTGTTTAGATAACGGTGTCCTGGTTTGTAAACTTGCTCAGATCGTACAGTCAGCTGCTCAAGACTGCATAAAAGCTGGAAAATCAGTGAAATCACTTGCCCCGTTCTCTAACAAGTTTCACCAAAACGCTAAAGCGGGCACATTTTTTGCTCGGGACAATGCGGCGCATTTCTTGCAGTGGTGTCGACAGATCGAGATTGAAGATTCAGTTCTCTTTGAATCGGATGGGCTGGTTCTTCAAAAGCAACCAAGAGAAGTGATATTGTGTCTACTAGAAATTGCCAGAGTGGGTGCAAACTATGGAATAGAACCTCCAAAACTTGTCAAGCTAGAAAAAGAAATTGACGATGAGATTGCCGCGGAGGAGGAGAAGAAGCCGGAATTAAAACCAATCAGAAAGGAAAAAAAAGTGTCGAAAGCAGCAAGCATTGACGCTGAGGTAAGCAGTCGATATTTTACTTTGAAAATATCACTCAATCGATGGGTGTGTAGTTTCATTCCTGACATTGCTATATCAAGGTAATTGCACCTGCAAGTTTTTAAAGTTCACGACTTATTATTGTTTACATCAATTAATTATGAAAGACCACTCGCCGTTTCTCGGCCGACGGCCTACTGTTTACAATTTTGTGTTGTTCATTTCAATGATAAAGCGAGGAATTGTCATTGAGATGAATATTATTGTCACTCATATGAGGGAATTTATATATACATGCCCACGCGAATTACGTAAAATTGTATTAATGGTTCTTCCGGCTGTTTCAATGCCTGCGTATGAACAATTTCAGTTACTTACGCGACAGAAACCGACGGAGGTTATTGAGCGTGCATTTATCACATTAGATCATTTATTGCTGATAAAAGAATGGTATTCTGCAAGGACTAATGCTGTCTACACAGTTATTAAATTTAATAGATCATTCGCACTGAAAAGAATATCAGTCAACTTTTGTTGAGCAAATACAGTTGTTGCTTCACGTATGATCTAGGGATCAGTACATGAAAGCTTTCAGTTTTAGGAAACTGAACAGTTATCAACTTAAACTTCATTTCTGTATGGCAAAAGAAGAGAGAAAAAAAACTTTAATTATATGCAATTTTCTGTGGTAGCTGTGTGTTTTGGTGACCACATTTTACTATACCACATATCTTGTTTTCCCACTGATGTTACTTGGCAAGGCATCAAATATTACTAACACAGCAGCACAGTTTTTGTAAAAATATAGATCCCAGC